TACACACGAGACTGGTACCGGGACAACATACCGTGTCCCTACGATAAGACGTAGATTAAGCTCATGTTTGCACACACATATTTAACATTCCCGACAGCTAGACTTGCGACAACACCTAGCTATTTTGCATATCGCCTGTTTGCGAAACAATTTCGTTTTAAACGCATTTGCAAGAACTAATATGGTTTGTTAATAGCATTACGGACTTTTGCCTCCTCTTGAATGTTCGAAGTTTTTTTTCCTTTATTTACACGGCGGACGAAACATTGGTCTAGTGGTTAGTACCCCTGACTGCGAATCCATGGGTCCCGGGTTCGATCCCCGGCTGAGACGAACATCGATGTGATGAGCATTTGGTGTTGTGCTTAGGTCTTGGGTGTTTAAATATGTATTTATACGTTTATCTATCTATAATATGTATGTATATCCGTTGCCTAGTACCCATAACACAAGCTTCACCAGCTTAGCATGGGGCTAGGTCAATTGGTGTGAATTGTCTTAAAAAAAATAAAATAAAAAAATTACAGATTTAATCGTTTCACCTAAGTATGTTTTGTTATTTGGAACGGTGTTTTCAAAACTAGTAGATCCTATGGAAACGTGTTTTTTTTTATTCAAACAGTTATTTTTACTTTTTCAAGTTTTAAGAAAAGCCATATTAATTACTTTATTTCCAGGCACATCAGTAAGTTGTAGATATTTAAACTACAAAGATACAAATTACTTTTCTTTTTACTAACAATTAACTTAATATTACATTATTAATAAACCTACACGGGTTTTCTGAACTAATCTTATGCTACCTACAATACCGAAGTTATCACCTTTATTCAACGAAACTATAAAAAACTCCTTAATGATATAACTTGATTCAAAGAATGTAACATTAATATTATCTAGTTGCCTTAGTAAACTAATATCGTAACTAACATTGGAGTTTTGATTATACGCAAACCATGCCTGTGTAACGCAAGTTATAATTTAAGTGAGCAGCTAAACATTAATTCAATTTACAATTTGTCACCTTGCCTGAATCGCGGAATGTCGCGATCGCGTGACGCCCGGAAGCCTCGGTTCGTGAGGCTTCGCTGCATAAATTACTTACAATTGATCTGAGCGATTCAAACCACATCAAACAAATATTAAAGCGACACTAGATGACTTTGTTTCATATTGAATGAAATGCTAACTCAAAGATAGCGTTAGAATTGAACAGTTAAACCATTTGAACTAGTACGCAAATTTGTGCATTGTACCTTGATTACTTTATTACTAGCTGTTTTCTGTCGAGCTAAGTCGGTTAAAGCATTTTTTTATAAATGGTCCAATCAACACAAACATAATTTTTCAAAATCAATTCGAAAATATTAGCGGGTTTAAACAAACAAAAGCTTTTATATTACTATATATATAGTTAAATTGTTGTCTTACTTTTGGATACAACACGTCCAATATCCATATTTTAAAGCGAAATGCTGGCACCAATTTGGTTGACAAATAAAGGGTTTCACACGTCAAACGAATCGGGATTTTTACAGTAAGCTGATATAAATCATTAAAAATGTCTATTTTCCTACAAATTTAATTTTTTTCGACGTATTAAACAAGGTTTTTCCCCGTTCTCTATACGTTAAATTATTTGAAAGCATTAATTTTATTGCAATTTTCATTCAAGAGCAATGTTTATACTATATTACTATACTACAAACATATGCTACTTTATTATTCACTATAAAACAGAGTTGCGGGGTTGCCGTTTGCACGGCTGGGTCTTCAAAACATAAAACATATAGGTATTTACACTTATAACTTAGTCTTTTCATAATAAAAAAAATAAAATAGAAAATCCAGTAAAAAATTAGTACAAATTACAACACAACAACAGTGCCAATATATTATACTCTTTTTATATAAAATATCTTTCTCGGCTCCTCTTCCATTGTACTCTTTACCTTCTTTGCCTCTTTAATTTTATTCGTCTTCCCATCTCTTCTTCCTCTTTCCTTTCCACCGTACCAGCATATATGTTGTCCACTTTTCTTGTTTTCACTATCATTGCCCAGTCCATCTCCTTCTATTCTAGTGAGTATGTCTGTATTTTGTCTTACTTCTTAATAAGAAGTAAGACAATATTTCTTATATGTATTGTTTAAAAACAATCTCTTTCCTTTGTTACGTGAATTTTTATGCAACGTAAAATAAATTAATGATACATCCAACGTGTCGTGTAATTACCTCCAAGTAATTAAATAAAACGGACACGAAAACACTTTTAAACGTTACTTTTTACTGTTGCACGTTTTATTTGAAAGCAAAACCATGTCAGTTATATTTTAAATACATATATTTTTATTAAAGATTCGGTAGCTATATTCAGTGCGGTTTTAAGATAGTGTCCATAGACACGAACAGTGTTACCATGAATTCCACGTAGCGTCGTTTTACAGTAATTATCTCTGACGGTTTAGGGTTCTTCTTATATTTGACATAAGCGATGTGTAAAAATCAAACAACAAACAAAAACAAATTATTTAAAATATATTTATTTTTTTAAATAATTGTTCAAAGGTCTCATGTTTCTTCCTCAGATATTGTTTTGATTATAACAGTCGCCTTCCTTTCGTAAACCCATTGATAGTGAGTGATAGCCAGCGTAACTTATTCTCAGCACACTACGTTGCATTCTCGATATAATTACACTATATCATACTACGCTAAAACAAATGCAGATTGGGTATATTCGTCGGATACTTCACCGAAATAAAAGTAATTCAACAATACAATGTAATACAGAGACGCACTATAATTAGAGGGGAATTAGGAGCAAATTATTGCTGGCGTAGACGAGGTACAATGCCCGGGTCGGACCATTCTCATTAGTGTTCGCTGAGCCCACGCTGAGCCGAGTCTAGAGTCTGCATTATTCATGCGGACAATATTGCACTGCCGCATCTATGTATTATTAAACTAGTTTTTTATGAGAAATGACGTATGCGGTAGTTCCGGTATTAGTATATTAAAACTGTTCGGTTGGTGCTCAAATTTAAGAAGAATAGATGGAGTTTGTCGCTGGAAACGCATCTCCTTTTTTGAGTTAGATTTTTGTTTTGCGTTTACTAAAGTACTGAAGAGTTTAATCGCATAAAGAACCATTGTATCATTAGTAAGTATCTACCTTTACCGAGAGATCCAACACAGCCGTGGGTTGCACCACAATGTATTAAAAAAATTGTTACGCCATGATTATCAAACTATTTATATATTTAATCACCTTCCCAGAAGTTACAAGAGTTTAAAGTTACAACTTCCAAGTGAATATGCTTCTAAAGCTTTAATGCGGGAAAGTTTTTGGATCATAATTTTGGAATAATTATATTTAATGTTTGATTATTTTGCATGTCTTATTTAATCATGCCTATTGTGAGGGTTTTTTATAATTAAACACTCTGAATGTACCACTCTTTTTTCGAATAAAGGATTTATTATTATTTTTCAAAAGAAGGTATTTAATTAGTAATAAACTATTAATTTTGTAAGTTACCATTCTATAATATGTTCGTTTAAAAAAAATAAGTATTAAATAAATATGACTTTGAACTTAAGCCCTGTTTACATTTGTAATTTCTATCTTATTGGTGGGAAACCTTTCAGCCTTACTTATTTTCATTTAATAATTAAACATTTATATCACAAGAGTTTCATGTGAACAACACATTTCCGATGTATTCAAATTTGGAATGTGATTTTCATACAATGATCGACCCAAATCGTACCCTTTTCGGATATTTATCATCCCTTTTCACGAGAAACCATAGTTTGCATTTTGAACCCTTAAAATGTATGAATAAAAGGTTGTATATAATATATTGTTTTAATTTTAATACGCAAATATAATTATTAATTAATAATAAACCTCATTAGAGCTTGAATTTTATCCAAAACGTAATATAGTAGTCAACTTTGGTCTTTAGAAAATATTTAATGATAGACACATAGATTTTACGAAAAGCTTATCGGGATTATTTTTATAAAGCTTCTAATTAAAACGGAATCCAAGTATGACTGGTATAAATTTTGAATAATAAAACCGAGTAAGTAGTAATTATATTCCTCAATGTTTAACTTCATAGTATTATTTTTCAAAAATTTTTTTTTTTTTCATTCAAAAATTTATATGTTAACTTCATTTTAAAGTAAAATGTACTGATGATGAGGTTACCCACGTTAAGCCCCAACTCCATAGGCCTACGACCAGTCTAAGTTGTACACAGCCGTGCACCAATTATAGATTATTTATTCTTATTGGTAATTACTATGATATTTATGAATAGCAATGGATTTTGACACAGCTATCGACACATTACCACAATCAACCCAACCGCAAAATCGTATACTACGTATATTATATTACACCTGAAGCGCGTAAAAATACTGACCTTGTATCACCTCGCATTAAGCACGGCGATTTCAAGTTTAAACCACCAGCCTGATGGTTGTATACATCACGATAATGTTATTTGTAGATAAAATAATATTAAATATACACAAAATAAAATATAAAATATTAATATTAAATGACACAAAGAGTAAAAGTTTTCATAAATCGTGTTATTGGTTCATGAGTTGCATGCTTGAGGCTGTTATTTGTATTGTTTTTCGAACCATCATATCGGAAAATTAAATCATCTTGATTTATTTTAAATTATATTAATTTGAACATGTTTGATATGAAAATAAGTTACATTTTAATTTCAAATGTAATTTTGTTAATGAATTATCAGTGTTTTGTATATAATTATAAGTTATTTACCCTTGTGAACCCTTAATTTATCGAATAAAACATAGATTTATTCCTTATTATTTAACACCCAGCTTATAATATCAATTATTATTTTTGCTATTGTGCACTTTGTAGGGTCGTAGGAAGCAAATTTGCAACTCCGTTGATCATACAAAATGTCTAATTCATGTTCGACTTATCACTGTTTTGAAAATAAATAATGCTTATTCTCTGCACTTCCAGCATGAGATTTATGTTGGTCTTATGACCTTTTAAGCTTACAGCTGACCATTTAATCTGCATATTTTTATTAAAGATATTTTCTTCTGATAAGTGTAAGAGGTCTGAAACGTGTATATCTGTTTGTCCGAACGAATTCGTCTAAGGGTTCTTCTAGACAAGAGCGTCCCAATTCTTAAAAGGCTGGCAACGCGCTTGCCCACTGGTAACGTGAGTGTCCATGGGCGGCAATATCACTTAACATCAGGTGAGCCTCCTGCCCGTTTGCCCCTAATATATATAAAAAAAACGTCCTTCTTTGCACGAGAGCCTTGGAACAACACGTTTCATAGCAATACAGTGGAAACTGTAAATTATCTGTAAATAAACCTATTTTTAATGTTAATAGTTTGCATCTTCTGTCTTAGATATAGCTGTGGCATGAAGCTAATACAAAATCTACGTAAATTTACCTAAAATAGATTAGCCTACATTCAGCTTCACAAGCTCCCATAGTGTTTATACTAAGTTAGAAATAATTTTGTTACAGAGGAATTTTACACCAAAACCAGAGGCGATACGCCGAGGCTATCAAAAGTTTTGAAAAGGCAATTTATTTTCGACCATCCATGGCTTGTAAGTGAATATTGAATTTCTACGTAATTAATTTAATTTAGGTTACTTTCGACAGTTTTCTGCTTCGATAAATTTCGAGTAACGTTTACTATGTACACTATTAAATTTCAACTGAGCCACAATATTATATTTATTTTAAAATGAAAATTGGTTGTATAACAGACTATTTATGTTCCGTTCTGTTACTCTTAAGGTGGAAAAATTATCTAAGCGTCTTTATCAATAATAATTGTACCTGGAATCAAATCTACAACCTCTCTGGTTTGTAAACCATTAATAATAAATATTTTTTACTAATAAGGAAATCATCTGATTTAAAAATTATTCTTCTCATTCATATTATACACCTTTTCTGCTCGTTCATAATTGTAAGTTAGTAACGATAACGTATACAGTAAAAAGGATTTCAAAGCTCTTTTGTATTTGGTATTAAAGCTATAGGAGGACAAGCAATTGTTTAATTACTTCAGTGTTTATATAATATATCAAATCAAAATCATTTATTCACAAAGGAAACACAATGTACTAATGAACGTCAAAAAGGGCGTAGAACGGAAGAAAAGGACTAACAATAAACTCTCCGCCACTCTTTTTAATCGTCAAGTTTTTTGTTTTACACAATGTTTGTAAGGAGCTGTAAACACTACACCATGTTCCACATGACATCTTACGTATCAATTTTTTATATTTATTTAGTGGCCTATGTAAATCTTGGCACATCTTTGATGGCTGACGGGAGATTAGCTGAGGCAACTAGCGCACTACGGGCGGGCGCGCGCGCCGATGGAATTCGCGTGCGTGATCGCAGAGAACATGACGCTGCACGCGTCTCAGCATTAGTTCAGCTCGCTGCTTTGCACTCGCGAAGAGGGCATTGGCACAAAGCCTTATCATCATACAAGGAAGCGCTACAAATACTTCCCGTGACAAACTCACCAATTGTAGGCTGGACCAGACACGTATGTTGACTTTATATGATTTTTCACCGTATCTAAATGCATTAATATAATAAAGCGATTCCATTGTTATTGAATTACCAGAAAGGCTAGCAAAAGTGCAGTTTATTATTATTTCTTTGTGTTACAAACTAGAGCGAAGGAACGAAGCACTTACCGTATTTCCATATTTTTATAAATATGACATTCAACGAGCACCTTTGTAAGCCTCGCTGGATTGTCTGTCCAAAGAATAACAAGTCAAAATGTCTCCGAGTGCATATTTTTAAACAACTAAATGTAGTTTGTCATTTTGGAAAATGTTTTTCTTGAAAACGTTCCGGAATACCTAGAATTACCTTCATATATTTTTGTAGAATGTCCTAACAATGGCGGGGGATATTTATATACAATTGCAACAATGGGCCCTGGCTGAACACAGCGTTTTATCAGCGTTAGCTCTCGCACCTGGGCACGCGGCCACTTATTTAAGCCTAGCTCAGATTGTAGCTAGAAATGTGAGTATTTTTATGGCCTACATTATTCTTAATTTAAAAAAGATTTTTATACCTTACCTTAACAATACTTAACCATTTTAGACAAGTAGAAACATGGAAGCGGAATCGTGGTTTAAGAAGGCGATAACTTTAGCGCCTGATGACCCGGCGGTTCGAGATCAATTTGGTAAATATCTTATCAATGCAAACTTTATTAATATTTAGGTAGCTTTTATAATAATTACAAAGAATTACCATAAACGGTCTACCTAAAATATAATTCTTATTAATATTGTGTGACTGTGCTAACGTAAGTGTTACTCAACTAATTTTGATTTAGTTTATTGCTTTATTTGATATATATAGTATGATTTATACTATTTCATTGTTACCAACCCGGTTAATTATTAGTACTACTAATTATATGTAAATATATGTTGATTGGCGTAAAAATAGCTAAATATTTAGCAAGTAAGCTAGTTATAAGCTGTAAATCTTTCTCAATAAACAAAAAATAAAAAGTGTGGGTGCGTGTTTGTGAGGGGGCACTAATCATATCCATGCGTGTATTTTAGGAATGTTTCTAAGATCACAACGTCGATTACGAGAGTCGGCTGAACAGTTGGTAACGGCAGCGCGTTTATCGCCGACCGACAGTGCGCGAGCGGCTTCGGCTGCGCGAGCGCTACGGGACGCAAGAAAATGTCGTTCCGCTGAGCGCTGGTATGCGAGGGCAGTAGAGTTAAATCCTGATGTAAGTATCCGATAAAGATTAAGGACTTCAAAACAACTAACTCAGTGTTATTGCATCGTTTTAAGTAAAGTACTCTTTAGTCTCTCCGCCAAATTTTATTTAAACTGTTATGAAAATTGTAAGATCAGTTTTTATTATATGTAACGGTGTAATTACATTGAATTAGTTCTAATAAATAGGGATACATAAAAATTATAAAGACAATATGTATAGATTAAATAATTATTTATATAAACCTTTAAATTAGCTTAACTGAAAGATCGTGGTAATTTATATTTTTTTCGTCCATAATTAATTCCTTTTATCCTATTACTTTGAATGTTAATTAAAATGTTGAATAACAATGTTCATAGCATTTATTTCTCAAAATTCAACAATACATCGAAACACAAAAGCTCTTCGTCCCGTCGAGTTTCATCCAATAGACATTTTCGAAACAAATAGCATATTTCGCGTGCAATTCCAGGAAGCTGAGCACCACTCGAATCTTGGCGCTATTCTGCACCTGAACGGGAAGTATGTAGCGGCTGCCTCTTCATACAGGCGCGCGTTGCAGTTGCAACCTAACGATCAAGTTACGATCACAAATCTCAAGCGGGTGAGAACATTAATGAGCAATCAACGGAAGAAATAGTCAATTGCCAAATCGTTTTTTAATCGTGTTTTAATTACATGTATAACATTTATTTTATATAGTTGGGGAGCCCGGATATCATATTGCTCACGCACGACACTAAGCATTACGAGAGTTGTCAAATATAATGTATAATCGTAATTAAACAATAGATGACTTATAAAAAATTATCAAAATACTTATTAAGATCTTTTTAATAAGCTCATAAATGTTGATTTCTAAATTTTTCTTACAAAATTAAACAAAAATATCCACTTAACTACTAAAGCAAATGACAGCTTTTGTTTCTTATCCTTATAATCTGATTTTTTATTAAATTTATAATTTAAGCAAAAGCTGTTGTTAAAAATACATGTTACCTCTGCCACCGATAAAGGCAGATAATGCGCGCCATATCCTCTACACCCGACGATACTCAGATATGGTTGACCGTACCAAAGAGAGATATCCCTAATAGCGGGTATTTTGTACATGTATGATTTGGTAAAGTGATTTACGGATCTTAACTTAAAAAAAACCTATTTTAAATGTTCAAATAGAAGTCGCAATGCAAAGGAAAACGCAAGTGAAGAATACGTTTAGTGTGTTCAGCACACAAAAATATACAAGAACATAATATTATATTTTATACACATAGTTTAACACATTACAAAAAAACATCACACTAGAAAACCAATAATTGGGCTCCTCTACTAATAAGTAATCTGAATAGTTACAATAATATAACGATACATTTTAACTCACTACATGATTAATTTTGATTAAAATTTCTTAGTACATAAATGGATCAATTATAGAAATAAATTGTATATTGTCTTACAAGCTATTTTATTTATGGTTCAACGTTTTTCGAGTTTCTGTTCGCATAAATGATACGTAATCCAGCTAAAACATTTTTTGTGCACATGCATTAAGGTTCCACTCGGCTTTTAAATTTCTTGCACTATTTTGTTGTATGAAAGAGCTTGAAACATGCATTTAGTACGGACTAATCACTCAAGTACAAATTTTGTGCTAAAGCATTCGTATCTGTACAGGCATTTTGCAAAAGTCAATTAAATAGAGGCTCAAAATTATCTTCAAAACGTTTGAGTGGCTTTTTTCTTGGCTTTTCTTTTAGACAATGGAATTGTTATATGGAATATAAAACAAAGGATTAATTTTTTTAAGCGCTTAGATATTGTTTCGTATATATTCTACTCGATACTACGTACTACTACTAATTTTCCTGAAATCTTTCACATTACTTCGTGAAGTCTAGTAGATATGTCATTGTTTATATGTAAATATAAGCCGTTAGGTTGTTTTAATAAGGATAAACATTTAATTTGCTTCGTCTTCCATTATATTTATTCAATATTTTCGTATTAGAATGTTGTTATTAAGTCATTTAAATTATATCGAGGTTATTCGCAAATTATAATTCAACGTATATACAATTAATTCTAGTCGTACTCAGTCGTTCATTAACTTTTAGTTTCTCTAATTGTTGGTTAATGATTACAATTATACATCTGAGGAAAGTAACAATTCGGCAATTCAATTTAATCGATTAGTTTACAATTTGTTTCACACCTAATGGGTGTATTTTACTAAAATCTTTATTAAATGACTTAGATAACAGTTAAATCTTAATGAACGATTCTAAGTACGACTGAATACGTTTAACTAGTCTTCTGTATAATGCGGGTTTAGAATAAGAATAATAGCGGGTGAACCGCGTCGCTAACTTTATTTTTTATAATAATTTAATTGATATTAGCCATTTAATTTAACTATCAGCTTATTCTTATTTCCTATTATAAAACGAACATATCTATTTAATAATAACCATTCATTGTTATTTCGTGGTAAATATGTAAAAATATGTACATAGTGTTTAAATTCCTATATTTAACTTAACGTAATACATCCGTTATTTGAATATAGGAATGGGTTGTCATGACATTGTCATATTAGATAATAATTTAATTCCCAAATATATTTTGTCATCTTCTCATTCACACCTGTGACAATAAATGTATATTACGCTTTGTAGGAATAGAAAAGCCAAAAAACCTTTTTTTTTAATTTAAAAGCTTAAAGCTGTTTGTTTTACTGACACAAGACTGGTGATTTTTATCGTAGTTGGCCTAATTCATAATTTTAAAATTCCGACATTAGTGCCGAACGTACATTCAATTGCATGCAATAGTGTTAGGTTTGAACTTGTATTCAGCTAATACGTAGTCCGTATGTGGCTTCATGAAAGTGCGTAAAACAATAAATTATATCTCTTAAATATCAAGTAACTTCCTTTATCAACATTTTCATGTAAAAGACAAATGACCTCACCCTACTCTCAACAAAATATCCATTACGCTCAATTCGCTTCACCGGTTTTGATCAATTGTGGAAGAATATACACTAAACATCGATCACGGCCAGTACTAAGTACATTTTTCTTAAAAACATGATATCTCATTGTATTATTTTACTAACAATGAAATTAATTGAACAATATTATCTGTATTACTCCATTATTTAGAAATTATCAAGGAATTGTAACCATTATTGTTTTTATACTAGTTATATTTATGGTGTTATGCAAGTAAAACTGCAAATTCCCAAAGTGATAATATTATATGTTGATAATTTTGTAAATAAAAGCTTCAATATTTTATACTATGTTTTATTAACCTGTGTATATAAGTGAAACTGCATTTTTTTCTGTGATAATTTGGTGGACAATTAAGTTATACAACTTCTGTACCTCAACAGGATGTTTGCCTTGTGTAAGTGTTAAATGCGCATATAGAAATTTAGTAATATATAAAAATTTAAAAAAAATACTTTCAAATTTACTGACTTTATACCATTAGCAAGATTGTTTTATCATTACTTTGAACTCTCGTGAATTGTAGTTAGTTTATGATTATTTCATTAATGCTAAGATTAAAATCTACACTTACAATAATAAAACATTGTTAGTTTGAGTTTGTTGTTCTATGTGCACTGAATTACTTCTAAAATTATTTCGTTGGATTTTTATTCCATTAATAGCGAAACGGAATTTTTTTTATAGAAAATTTTTCTTTGCAAACTTTTGGACACTGAAGAAGGTAATAGAGTGCAGAAAACCGGTCAGTCGTATCTACGCTTTGGACATACTATCATTGTAGTCCGAAGAGTCTTCGAGAATCTTATAAATACTAAAGTTGTATTGAACATTATATTTTAATGAGTTTTCATACCTTAAAATGCATAAACACCTATATGTTACACATTGATATAAAACTAGGTACGTCTTGCCATCTGAGATTAGTAAAATAGGAAGAAGAAGTGTGCCTATGCCCCAGAGATTCAGCGACTACGGATGTCAACGTTGTCGTATGCCCCAAAAGGAGCTAGGGTGGAATAATTTACCATACATTACAAGAGTGGTAACTTATTTTGTTTGATTTAGAGGCAAATTAGTATTTCATTTTAGTTTTCATATTATGGAAAATACTATAGACCTACGGTTACCTACTTTTCTATAAATAAAGCTGGATAAAGAAACACTAAAACTATGTCCAAATTGATCTAGCTCTTTATTTTGATTTATTATTACCGAGTTACAAAAATTGAAATAAACTGCCGGCAGTGAGTACAATAGGATCATGAAGTGTATAAAATTTTTATAATATATTATTTTCTAAGTTATAGTTTTACCTTTAAGAATCTGGTACTGGCTTGCTATTCTGTTCCTTCTCACTTTCGTTACTCAGTCTCACCGTCCACCTGTGCCATACAAAAGACAAAAAAAGAACATTTTTTTATTATAAAACTGTTAGTTAAAACTTCTTACAATTTCATTGTAAGAAAAGGAAATTTCGAGGTTTCTTAACGAACCATTTTCCTGGAAAACAATAATATTTTTTGATTTCGAAAGCATATAATGTCTAAGGAGAATATGAAAATTTGTTAAAAATTCTTTATCGCACAAATGTACCACGAATGTACTTAAAATAAAAGTGGCCAGAAAATATTAAATCAGGACTCGAAGATTGAAAGGGGTCATAAAACCGAAAGGTCTTATAAAAGCGCTCTAAGATTGGCCCGTGGGGGTTTTATTGCGTAAAGCATTAACACAACGTCTACGCGATATTTTTTGCCTCCAAAATACGTGAAGTAAATTGGAAAAGGCCATTTAGCACATACGAGATTTCATCTTGTCGATTTCGTAGGCGTCATAACTTTCATCACATTTTTACAACTCACTAGAGGGATTAAGGGAATTAATGTTAGACAATTACTTTAAGGCGGAAACATACTACTAAAACGCGACGCTACACCACGCCATCCGACGCATGTCAGTACTTATCAATCCCATATATTTAATATGGTTAGTGCACATATACAACACGCCATGTGATCACACGCGGTAACATCCAATCGATTTGGATCAGCGTGTTGTCGTGTTGTTGACGCCAAGCGTCAAACGTTCGAGTTTTTGGCACATTTAAGTCAATTTATATACTTACATATTTTTGGATTTATTTATTTGGCGAAATGAACGACCAACAATTAACTGAGTTGGTGAAACAATATTCTGTTCTATATGACATGAGATTCGCTCAATACAGCGACCATACTGTAAGAAATAATGCATGGGAAAAAATAGCCGAACAAATGAATACAAGCAGAAAGTTTTATTAAAATATTATATTACAAGACTTTTGTATGAGTTGCAAGTTTTTAATTTTGTCTACCTTTCCTCACAATATCAAGCTGCCACGGAACGGCGCCTTCACCACCAAAATATTCCTTAAATTTGTTTCTTACTGAAAATGCATACTGTGTGGAATTTCTACGAATTGAATTTAAGTCGTGTCACGTGTTGGTAATGTGCACGATGGATTTCGGGTGTCGACACGTTGCGTCGCGTGGCGTTTTAGTAGTATGTTTCCACCTTTACTTGATTGTAAGATTATACTAGTGTCACAACTGTGTGAGTCTCTCGGCCTACACCCTCTGTA